AAGTGCGTGAGTGTGGGTGGTGAGCACACGATAGGCCTTTGATAAACAATTTTGTGAATTTTCTCATTAAATTTGCTTGACAAATATTTTAGAACACTCGATACTTTAAGTGGTCCATAGCTTAGTTCAAATATTTTATATCGACAGGCACAAGAAAGGCACAAAAACGTACACAAGAAAAACACAAAAGGGTTAATATTGCTGACCTTGTGATAAATTAAAAGAGTGGCAGACAAGTAGCTAGTACAAGACAAACCTAACGTAACATAACCTAACTATGTTTAAATAAGTTAGCCTCAGCTAAAGTAGACATATTGGCATTTACACAAAGTCACAAGCACAAATACACCTTCACACCTACACACATGTACATCCACATACACACACATACACACACATACACACAATACAAAATGTAGCATATTTGCACACAGAAGGCAGTACATAAACACACATACAAACATGACTGCAGGGTCTTACCTATCCCCTGGTATGTTTCAGTTTGGACGGACGTGTATGGAGGTCGAAAGCATACAACATATTTGGCAAATGGTAGGAACAACAACAAAACCGAGTCGGAAAAAAAGTGAGGCGAAAATAAGTAAACTTAATTTTTATTGGCATCTTAGGCATTAGGATTTTGATGCTGTGTCAAAGTGACAAGGGCAAATGTCATACAGCAGGAGTAGCTGACATTTTGCAATGACAAATAGGGGAAATCGGTTTTTGTGCATATATAGCTTTAGTCAAAAACTAAAGTCAAGTTTCAATTTTTTTCCAAAAAATTTCATTATAATAAAATAACTTTTATGGTCATTTATAGCAAACGATGATAAGCCAGTGCTTGAGTCAGAAAATCAGCTTATCACTACCCTAAGGGGCTCAATAAATAACGGTATTCGGTAGCTTTTGGATTAAATTGAAACGTTAAAACATTCTTCAAGTTATAATGTTCTTATAAACAATGACATTTTATTGGTAGTATTTAAGAGTGTGAAGGAATTCATTTGTTTTGGAATTAAAGTTTGAAGTCAAATTTATTAGCACTTTTAGACATAAAATAAGACCACGTCATATAATTTTTGGTACAAAACCTCATTATGGCATAAATAACTAGATAACTAGATCTAGGATGGTACTTAGATCTCATCATAGTGATTTGTAACCATGGAGTAGCCATTAAGCTACAGAGCCGGTTTATCAAAACTACTTCGTTAGTGCGTCCCCTCTCTGTGGAACAGAGCTGAGATTCTTGGAAGGTTATATAACCCGTCAACATGACAAACATTAACAAAAAGAGTCTGTCTAAGGATATAGAATGTCGACTCCTTTTGGAGATATGTTAGATGAAAGATGTTGAGTGATATTTTTAGTAATTGTCTAATTTTGATTTGAATCAGGAGAAGATTATTGAACAGCGAACACATATCCCTATCTGATACTAAGATGACTTGTTGACTTTCATTTCATGGGCGTAATATTTTCTATTTAGTTAGAGGCTATGAAAAGCACAAAATATTGAAAGAATCACATCAATACTGTCCGCGTCATTCAAATATTTCGTTCGACATACAATATAATTTTAATTTTTATTTAATAAGTATAAAAAATTTATTAAACGTTTTGTATTTCTTTGGATCTAGAACAGTCTATATATCTCACACTAACATAGCTAATTTATATGAAATTCGAGAAAGGGTTTGTAAAGAACGTACAGTCAGTTTATTTTATATTAACTAAATTATTGCTGCAATGGCATTAATTAAATGACACTTAAATATATATCTAAATGCTTATATATAGACATTAAGTTTAATAAATTATTATAAATAGCAACTTTATGCATTAAGTTTGCACTATTTTTACTTATAGTTATGAAATGTTATTTTTTTTTTATTTGATTAATATATTATTTAACAAGTTTAAATCATTCAAGCCAAAATACTAAGATAGTGGAGAAGGCACAGTAGATGATAATAATTTTATTTAATTTATTTTAATTAATTAATTTCTAATTTTATATCAATTATTTTTCTTTGAAATGTAATATAACACTTTATGAATTTATTTCAATAAGATTTTGAGTACTTCAAACTCAGACTTATGTGATCTAAGTGTTACGAGGTCGTTGATTCATATAAGTCTTAGTAAAACTTTAAAAATTTATGACTATATAATTTAGAACGTTAACCTCTACAACTAATGCAATCAAACTAATTAATAGTTTTTATAATATTATCTTAAAATTTTATTGTTTTTAATATCTCTTCCTTTAATACTTTTTCAAACAACTTACAAACAAAAAATAATAGACTAGTAGGTCTATAAGATGTACTCTCTAAGGTTGGTTTATTTGGTTTTTTGAAACAGAAATAAGTTTAGACTCCAATCAAGTACTTGAAAATAACTATTCGAAATATGATATATTTATTTTTAAAGTTTATTATTTAAAACAAAAGCTTCGAAAACTTTGGTTGAAAGCAAAGTTTTATGCCAAGTAATAGATTTTATCTAAATTATATATATACGATATTATTTCACAAGCGTTACAGATTTTGACAAAAATCGACTTTATAACCTCATCAGAAGTTTTTCATACGAATCTGTGAATAGTATAAAGAAAATGTTTTGAATTATAACTAAAAATTTCTTATTATTCCTTGTTATTCCAATTCATATCGCAATAATATTTTCATTCCTTAAAACAAAAAGAAAACTCTAACTTAGTTACCCCATCAATCGATGAGATCAGTTTACTATAATTATTTTCATAATTATAATAATGGATGCCATTTTTCCGTCTAGAACATTAGATTAGTGTAAATAAAAATATTTATTAAACAACAAATATCACTACACTCAGCCAGTTTTTTATATTTATAATATATATTTTCTAATTTAAAAATTCATTGACAAAAACAGCAATGAGACAGCTACAATCAAATTTTAACCAGGGATAGGGGATAATATGAAATAATATAATCTTATAATTTTAATAAAAGTTGCATATTTTAACTTTTAATGTTAAATTACACATTTGCCATTATTAAACCCTTTATTAAATTTTGTGAATTATATAGCTCTGCCAGTATAGAACATATTGTATCAGAAATATTAAATTAAATGCATAAATAGATCTAATCCTTCACTAATTTTCTACTATTAAATATTGCATATACATATCCAGTGTAATCAAAAACAGTTAATCGATGAAATGCTAAGCAGACACTTAAATGATCAACGATCATTACACATATTATTTTTCTAAATACATACTACATCACTGTAGTACACCAGAAAACTGCAATGAGTAATCAACACTCAAATCTTTAACTTTGATTCATTTATATTGACATACACTTCATACAATTAACTCTACGAAACTCATAAATAAATCTGTAAGTACTTAAAACGATTTATACTCTTCTCAAATGATACTCATTAACACTTAAATATGTCACAAAAATACTGCAAGTGATGTATCAAGCATTCATGAGTATTACAGCACAGTTGGCAAGGATTTGCCTGTTATTGTTTGCTGTACGTATATGTAAGTCCCAAATAAAACAACCCCTAATTTAATGCACACATAATATTCAAAACACAAACAAAATACATCCATTTATAATGCTAACAACAACAACGCACACTAAAAACACAACACCAAATCACAAACACAAATTTTTTGCTTAGTGAAGAATTGCGTATACACATAATTTTCAGGAACACCAAAACGATTGACTGGACAGTAATTATCTTCAATCACTTTTGATGAGTAGCACTCGAGTATATTGCTATGACTGCTTATTTTTGCTATGTGCGTCACTCAACTTTAAAAAGTGTACTCACCAGCACTCATTGACGAAAATACTCATGAATCATTTCTGTGGTGAGTATGAATGAGTATAAGTGACGTATAAGAAAAACACTTATACTCACTTATACTCAACTATACTTGGTTTGTAGCAATACTAAGATATATTAAAATTATGACTTTTTGCAGTTTTTTGTTACACACACACAAAGGTTATACCCACACATGGAGATATAAAGATATAGCATTAGTTTCTCATCGTTCGTTCGGCAATTAGCATAATCGGTTGTCGAGCCACCGTGGCGCAATGGTTAGCGTGTTGGGCTGTTAACCCAAGGGTTGTCGGTTCAAGTCCGGCCGGTGGCGTTATTTTTTGTTTTTGTTACTTTGAACTTATTTTATAGTCTATAACTGGCGCAGTGTTTAGTATATTGGACTTTTAACCCAAGGGTTAAGGGATCGGGTCCGTTCGGTCGCATTACTTTTTTTATTGTAAATACATTAACTCCTTTTATATACTGTAAGTGGATCAATGTTTTTTATTTTAATAAAATCGCTTTTAATTATTTTAAAATACAAACAAATGAAGTGATATTGAACCCGAAAATATTTTTTCCTCAAAGTCATTCAGAATTTCTATTATAATAACAGTATATATATATATATTTATGGATTATATTTAATGATCATTTAGAACGTAAATTGCGTTTATATTTAAATATTTTCATATAACTTTTTTTCCCAGTTAAAAGCTATTGTTTTTTCCAGCATTTCAAATTAAATTTAGTGCTCATTCAATAACTTGATATCAATTAAGTAAGACATTTTTTGAGTAAGGTTTATAAATCAATTTTGTGAAATTGATATTTATTTTACCAATTTTGATATTAACAAGCGTACAGAAAAAACTTCATGCATTTGATTTTATAAGATCATATCTATTAATTATTTCCGATTTGCACAAACAAAATATTTTTCCGATCGACAAAAGTTACTTTGTTTGAATTTAAAATAACTAAAAACGATATTATTAACACAAAATATATTGATCCAAATAAACTACCGAATAGACTCGAACCGCCAACCCTTGGATTAACAGCCCAATATACTGAGCATTGCCCCAGTTATAGAACATAAAAGTAGTCTAATATAACAAAAGCAAAAAATAACGCCACCGGCCGGACTTGAACCGACAACCCTTGGGTTAACAGCCCAACACGCTAACCATTGCGCCACGGTGGCTTGACAATCCATTATTCAAATTGTCTATATAAACAGCAAATTATGACTAATATGAAAATATAATAGTACATTTTAAGTCAACTGATCGAGTAAGGAATAAAAACGATTTATTTATTCAATATTTATTGCATTTTTATCTTTGCTAACAATCTGCAATACTAATGTTATTTGTTTAGATTAATATAGTGCCTATTATGTGTTGTCTATCACTGATAGACAGTAGACAAGTTTCTATTACTGATAGACAAAACCGAATTATGGTATTGTGGACCGCAAAGTTTTTCTTTTCTTTCAGCAGTAGATACATTTATCGTTTAGATCAAAAACTGGTGTTGAAACGATTTATAAAGTCAATTTAAATTTAATATAATTTTTGTTTATTCAATTGTTTGTAATAACTTACTAATATTTTTATTTGCTTACTAAGCCGGTAAGCAAATAATTACTTTTAAGTGCAATATATTTTATATTGTTCTCTATTTGTTCTCTTTATTTGTAGTATTTACATAAAATTATAAAATAATAAATTTAATAAAAAAACATATATGAAAACTTATTGCAAATATGGAGAAATAGCCAGACATTGCAAAAAGCATATACAACAAGACCCGCTCCAAATTAACGTGGGAGAACATTGCAATGCAACTCAACAGTTAAGGTCCACCAATAAATACGTGAGACGAGTGGGCTAAAGTAAGAAGTATCTATCTTGCATTAATCTCATAGAAACTTTTTGATTTCACAAAACATTTAAATTATCTTTCACTTTTACTTTATATATCTCTTTCAGATTTGGGTTGCAACAAACCGATCAAAATTCAAAAAGATAATGTAAAAAGTGAAGAAAAAGTTTGACTCAAACCCTGTAGCGAAATCGCATATGTCGCTCTAGAATGGAATCCGCAAGAAAGAAGAAGTCGCGGTCGACGAAGGAGTACATGGAGAAGGACTATCAACAGAGAGTCAGGCAAAACTTTCAGTGAACTTTTGTGCTTAGTCTAAGCTCTTGAATTGTCAATAATAATAATTATTTACAGCTACTAATTTACGAGACTGTCGTACAATTCTTGATGAGACTCAATGAAATTTTTTCAAATATAATTGACAACTTTTTTAAATTTAAAAATTTCTTATTCTGGTTATATATCAAGTGATTGTCTATCTTAAAAGAAATATCTATTTTCTATAAGTTATAAATTTTCTAGCCGACTATATTTGCTACTCTTGGTATTATAAAGCTAAAATCTATTGCTAAAATCATTGGATTGCCTATTGAATTATTTGCTATTGATTGCGAGGTTGCTGATTATCGAAATTTTCTACATAAATGTTCACAAGAAAAGATGTAAAGGTCCAAAAATTAAGATATGACTTCGAGTGGAGATTCTGATGCCAAGGTTGCCAAGGCTGACATTGGATTCATGACTATTTTTATTCTTGTGTTTTCTACTGTTCGTTCAGATATTCTTGACTTTTACCTTTTGATGGAATACGATCAAAGCGTATTATATTCCATGAGTTTTTATAATAAAAAAAATTTTTAAATTTTCTTTAAACTTTTATTTCATTTTGTTTTATTTTATTTCGTATAATAGAATATTAAATAATAAAAAAAATTAAACAGTAGTTAGTGTTTAAGCTTAATAGTAGTAAAATCAAAGAATATATTTAAGTTTAAAAGTAAATAAATTTTGCGGTCCTATGCTTCTCCTTGGAGTTAAAGGATTTAATATATAATATATTTGTTCATCTGTCACTGTTTTATCCAAATGCCTGTGCAAATCCTGTAAATATATAAAATAGAAGTAAATTAAACATTTTGAAATTATTTATGTTTTTATTTGAAATTTAATATTTTCTTGTAATAAAATCCAAAAATGTTAAAAATTCATTTTAGTAAATATTGAAATTTGATGACTATTTGGTATTGGGGGGTTTTGGTATTGGGGGGCTCGATCTATTGTGCACACTATTTAAAATGTGGAAATAAATAATAAATAATATAATTAATTTAGTATATTTTAAAAATTGATATTTATTTCATTGTATAAAGTTGCGTACAATCAAAATTCAACTTTTTCCTCATTAATGATATTAAGCTTCACCTCATAAAATCACCTTTTCGGTTTTTATTTGTAAATCACATATAACAAACAAAGGATATACAGGGTGCGTACCTTTTATTTGTTTAATTTTAATTTTGTTTAAATTTAAAGTTTTGTTTTGATTTAAAATAAAAGTAATATACATTTTCTGTCTTATTTAAATAGGAAAATAATCCATAAGCAATCTAAAAATCAATCAATAGCGTTTTCTACTTTGATAAAATCTTCTTTGATATTAAAAAGTTGCTTAATGTGGACTCTTAAAACCGCATTATATAAAAATTTAAGCAAATTTACTGCTTGTAATATTAGAAGCACATGTCGTAGTCTAACTGCACAAAAATGAGTTTATTTAGAAAAAGAAGAAAAAAAACTTTTAAAGTGAAAAAACACAGAAATAAAAAATTTATATTATAAAATAAAAAATAACAAAATGTTTACTCATACTAACGAATCTCTGGCCTACCTAAATATCGTATAGAACATTTTATCTTTAGGTCGCAAGTGGTAAAAATAATGTCGAAATAATTTATAAATGTTTCGTGAAGAATGGAAATAAAAGTAAAAAATATTTCAAGAAATTTCTGATGGAGTTCATAACTTTGCTTCGCGGAATACTGCTAACTTGGCCTAAAGGGAATACAGCAGCCAAGCAGCTGGGCTGTGTGTGACCCAGTTGCAGCCCGAGCGCACCAAAGCTGAACTGAGTTTGACAATCTGTTGACCAAACACCACTGCAGAGGAAATAACTTTTTGGTAGCAATCAGCGAGCCTGGAATATTGTTAGGTGCCATAAACTGCTGAGATGTGACATCAAAACCATCGTTTTTTTTTGTGTGTTTACTTCACAGTCAACTTGTTTTTCTTGCAATTGTTACCATCATCAACAAAAAAAAAAAAATATTTAAAAAAAATATATTTCACAGGACATTGTTTCAGTTGACACAGCCACTTTCACTACTTTTTTTGTTTAGGAATATTCTTGTGTGTATTATTCCTTGAATGGCTGTAGTTTATGTAGTTTAGTTGAAGAAATACTGGCCCAACTTTCAATTATAATCACAGTGGCGACTTAATTGTGACTTGAATTGTTTTGTTTTTTGAATTTATTTTAAATTTAAGAAACAGATAAAAATAAAATTGCATTTAACTTATGACTGGACTACAAAATTTATTTATAAGAAAGAAAAGATATAACAATATAACCTGACTACATCCCCACCTGTAGGTTTATAGAGTTTATTGTGAAAACCGTACAGATGATGGCTTCCAAGTCTGATAATGATATATATACTATCTTCAGAACTTTATAAAGTATACTAAACTTCTTTTTATTTTTTTCCCCTGTTTAGTGGAATTATAACTCTGTCAGATGGCTTTTAAGTCTAATGGCTGAGGTCTTCTCAATTCATTCCTAAAAGGTTAATTTAGTAGGTTTAAATCTGTCCATCACAAAATATATTGCTTCTAACAAAATATTTACTCAAATATTTGTTTTCTTCTTCTTTTAGATAAACTTTAAGTTTACTTCACAAATTTTATTAAACAATTTTCATCAACTAATTAACCTTTGTCTTCCTTATCACAACAATAGCGGTATAGACCTGATATTGGACAAAATTTGGGATGAATAATGGTAACACATTTAAACTTAAACTCTCCAGTACGATTTTCTGGTGGAGACAAATATTCTTAAGGACATTTTGCAAAAGGTTTAGTAAGAAGGATGCTCAGTTCAATATTCCCATCAA